GGATATCCCTATCCTATTGTTTGCTTATGTGCTTTTTTGGGGACCCTATAAAGGACCCTAAGCCCTATGAGCCCTACACCCTTAAGGACCTAAACCCTACTACACCCGTAAGAACCCGAAACCCTACACCCTACCCCCTGACAGACCCTAAACCCTAAACCCCTAAGCCCTGCACCCTTAAAAAGGGCTCCTTCCCAGAGAACCCGATACCCCTTAATGATTAAGGAAAATACCTTAAAGTATAGCGGCCTTAATATTATAGATTTAAAGTATATTCTTTAATTAAAGGGTATTGGGTTCTCTGGGTGTTAAGAGCCCTAAGCCCTAAACCCCTAAACCCTATAAGCCCTAAACCCTAAACCCCAAAAACCTACCCCGGCACCCTCAAAAAGGGTTCCTGTTAAGGGGTTCCTTTTTTAGAACTATATTATAATATACCCTAGAACCCTGTTCTAATTATTAAGGCTCCTACATTAGGGTCCCTTGTAGGGTTCCTTTTTAAGGGGTTCCTGTTAAACCCTAAACCCTAATCCCTAAACCCTAAACCCTAAACCCTAAACCCCTAAACTCTAAACCCTAAACCCTAAAACCCTAAACCCTAGTCCCTAAACCCTAAACCCTAAACCCTAATCCCTAAACCCTAATCCCTAAACCCTAAACCCTAAAGCCTAAACGCTAAACCCTAATCCCTAATCCCTAAACTCTAAACCCTAAACCCTAAACCCTAAACGCTAATCCCTAAACCCTAAACCCTAAACCCTAAGCCCTAAACCGTTTAGGGTGTTCGCGCCCCAGGAGCCATGGCATGGGCCCCTGGGCTCTACGCCTTTTCCACCTGCGACACGCTGCAGGTCTTTCACACGAAATGAGAAGGTTTAGGGTTTAGGGTTTAGGATTTAGGGTTTAGGGTTTAGGGTGTAGGGTTTGGGGTGTGGGTTTAGGGTTTAGGGTTCCTTTCACACGAAATGAGAACCCTAGAAAGGGATCCTAGTTGGGCTAGTTAGTGTTATGATACATACAACCCTACAGAATGAGAACTTCCTTAGACATCCTTTCAGAGGTTTAGGGTTTGAAAAGTTTAGGGGTTTTAATAAAAGCTTTAAGTGTTTAGGCTTCAACAAGGGTTTCCTTAGACACCTGTTCACGGGTTAGGGTATATGGTTTAGGGCTTTAGGCTCTAGCAAACGTTTCTATAGGGATCTATCGCTTAGTGCTTTCCGCACGGAATGTAACTTCGGTTTAGGGGTGCTTTAAGGGTTCCGTTCAGGATGGGAATTCGCATTTTAGGGCTGAGGTTTGGGGCCGTTTAGTTTTGTTTATAGAGGTTCAGGGTTTAGGGTTTAGGGTTTATAGGGTTCAGGATTCAGGGTTTAGGGGTTTAGGGGTTTAGAGTTACAGGGTTTAGCTTGGGTTCAGGGAAAGGGTTTGGGTGGCGGTTCCGCCCTCTATGGGCTGAAGATGGTTGAAGCATACATGATAGGATCCTTAAGGGGGAGGGTCCTAGGGATCATTAGGGAGCTTTAGGGAACCTAAGGGAGTACTAAGGGGAATTGGGGATTACTGGGTTATATACCCCCCCCCCTTAGAACCCCCTCCCTTAAGGATTCCATAAATACACCGGCCCGCACTTCAAAACGTTTCAGTTTCAGTATGGCACATTCTTAGGGTTACCTGTAGTCTCCATTGTAGTTCCTTTTTTTGTTTAACCAAATATATGTTAAGGAGTTTATAANNTACAATGGAGACTATAGGTAGGTCTAGGGTTCAGGGAGGTAGCAAAAGCCTCGCTAAAGGCATTGTCGTTCAGGCTGCAGGGTGTTGACAGGGCAGAGAACATTTGACGTTGACGGGTTGGGTTTAGGGTTTAGGACCTCGGCTTAGCGAGAATGTTCGTTTCACTTGCTTGCAGCTCCTCGCGCATAAGACGGAGCAGCGTTGATGTAGCGGCGGTGATTTCAAAACAAACTGCGATGCGATGAAGTGACAGGACGGGTTTTGCCTTTCGGTTTTAAGGTGTACACGGTGTACCTTAAGCTTCCTTGATCCACTGTATCATTATCATTATTCATTTTCCTGATCTGTAATGCAAATCAACATGCAGTATGTTATAGTAGTTAAGGTTAGCAGCATCTGGGGTCAAATCGAAGATTCAGGGTGCCGATGTTTCGGATCCTTCGGTATTGTCCAGCACGGAAGCTGAGAAACACACCCCTTGCGGCCCTTGCGCTAGAGACTCTTTGCCTGCCAGCCCAGCATACCCTGAGCCCGAACCCCAAATCCGAAACCGCAACCCGTAAACCAGAAGCTCGAAACCCTTAACTTGAAACCGCTAAACCCTAAATCAAGCCATAATGAAGCAGCCACATGTACGTAGCTTCAGAAAGCTTCGATACAGGAAGGAATCCATGGGCCTTACTTAAGCCAAGCATTCCCAAAACCATATCAGGGCTTGAAAGAGGTGTGGGTTGTAGGGTCTAATACCGCTGCAATATCGGGTTTGGGGTTTAGTTTTTCAGGGTCTAGTATAGGCAATTTCCACTGGTTAAGCTTTCGTTCTCAGACAGCAAACCCTAAACCCTAAAC